CTACAAAGCTAAACGAGGGTACATGGTTTCATAAAGCCTGTTTGTCCGAATTAGAAATTTCCAAAGATGGTTTTTCATTTTCGGCACTATTTCTGCTCTCTAGAGTTAAGAATTGCTTCTAAACGCAGGGACCAAACAGACTTTTTTAATTTTTGGCTTTAAAGTTTAAAATTTTCATTTACCATTAAATAGACTTTTTATATATATTTTTTTAACAGTTCAATCAAATCATAACTTACTGTCCAAATCTTTCTTAAGCATGCCCCATACCCATTTGCTAGACACCTGAAGTCACACTTCAAGCTATTGGGAATCTTGAATGAATTATCACAGCATAGAAAACAGACATTCTTTTTAGGGGTTAAATCAAGAAAACATACATGCTTCATTATAACCTCGTGCAGATGTCTAGCCTTCAGTTCAAGCTCTGCCTATCAACAAGAAAGTTCTGGTTAACCGGTTGGAATATATACAAATACTAGCTGCAAACCCGGGTATTTCAGAAGAACTTACAACAGTGGGCTTTTTAAGTAGGCCATCTTTCACTCTCTGATGCAAATCTTCACATTCTTCCTGTGGGAAACAATTACGAAACATAAATATGCAGTAACTGTAATTGATTTGCACTCTGTTCTTAGGTGTAGAGGTAAATCCTCTCTACCACTGGAACTATGATTTGTTTTTGAAATTAAAGAACAATCTCTATGGGTAATGGGGAACAACAATTAAGCACAAGACTCAAAGTTCCCTTAATGACCATGAATTACTAAAAATTATATCTGACAAACCTTAAGGTACCTTACAGTGCTCAACTCTGGACAAGCTCAGCTCTAACCTAGACACCTGGCCTATATCTTTAATTTTCTAAATAGTGAAAAAACTTAACTGACAAAAATTTCATTCTAATTACCTTATTTTTTAAATAATAAAACCACCATAGTTAACTTTGACTACTTATTTGAAATTTTTTATCATTCAACAATCAAACAGTCACAATTATATTACCTGACAGAAGTCATCATCTGACAGCTTGCTGATAGGTACATCTTTTGACATATTGGAAAACAGCAAGAAAACTTCTGTATTCATAACACCAGTCCTCGAAGTTTTCTTTATGCCTGTCAAGAGGACAATATAATACAAAGTGTAAGGGTGATCATCCGAGGACAAAACTAACAGGATTATAGTTTTAGCATTTATGAATTAGGAGGCTCTCCATTTCAAGGCTAAATATTGAGGTGATCATACAACTAGTGTTGAAAATATAAACATCTAACATTGAATATCCTAAGCCTTGCATCTCATAATAAAAAGCCTAGCAGTCTCTTCATCCAGACCAATTGATTTTGCGTTGGATGCTCTAACTTCATCATGGTATAAGAATGAGCAATCAATTCATTCACATTTCAGGAACAATTTGTCCACGTGTGCTTCACATCACCTATTATAGTTGATCCATGTGTTTGACTTAAGCAGGCCCACATGGGTATTCTATGCATTGCATCTAAAAAATATAAAAACCTAAGCCCTCCATCCATTGGCAATTGGTTTTGGGTTGGATACTCTAATTATCACAATTCATAACATCCAATCACTATGAGACAGCTTGAAGTTACACATCAAAAGGAGATAAATTTTCTTATTAAGTAATACAAATTTTGAGCCTAAATAGATAGAACTCATAAAAGCCTAACTCAGTATTATTACCTGTTATTTAATCTATCTGACAGTCCACTGTAACAAATAAATGTGAACTATATGAAATCAGAAATCATTTCAATCAAGTCTGGAAATAAGAGAACCTAAACCTTTGAAGACACCTGAGTCAAATCTAGAACAAACTTCATGGAAATAATTTAAAATTCCATCCCTTTCTCATAGTGCTGCATTTGGATAATGAGAGCATGAGGATTTTGGTTTATGCTGTATAGTTAAATTGTGCACATGGAATTTGAAATTAAAATATATTTCAATTTATATTGGATAAAGGAACGACACACAAGTTTTCAGCTCGAACAATATCACTTCCTACAAGATATTATTAATCATTGGATCTAGTAATTTCAAATTCAGAAAGCTGCATATTATTTCACCATTCCAAATTCATTTCAATAAAATGTATCTAACAATTTTATGGTTCTTTAAACCAATTTAAACAAACATTCCTCAAATATAAAAGGCTTAAAAAAGTATTTCCCTGAGCTACTTTCTGTCCAAAAAAAAAAGAAAAAAAAAAAGAGCCTCAACTAGATAAAACAATGTGGTACTGCCACCAGATAATTGATGAGCCCCCTCAATAAAAAATCAGCCAAAATAGAACAGTTGAAATGCTAAAAACTAGAAAGAATGCTGTTTGATACTTCAAAGAAAACCAAATGCTAATTGCCTAATGAAACAAAACGTATACATAGACATGTTTTTCTTTTGACAAAGGCTTAATACTTAGTTTTCATTGATAACCACGAGCCATATCTGTTGGAAAAGTTTTCATTCAAACCTGCAAGCCGTATCTGTTGGAAAACTCAACTCCATACCCTTAATAAATTCAAAACAAGTTCAATCTATAAGTATGATCATCTTGCAGGTTGCTTTATCTCTTCAAAGATTCTGCTCAATTAGCACAAAAAGAGATGTTTGTGTTGAGAATATAAACCCCACATCGGAAACGTGAAGCATAGGACCCTAGTTCATAAAATCTAGGGCCTCTCCACCCATTCCCAATTTGTTTTGGGTTGGATGTCCTAATTCTTTCAGTGTATCAGAGCAGACAATCCACATGTTAGGCCCCACATGCTCCCAAACCCAATATAAGTTATTGTGAGGGGCATGCTGATTGTGGTACAATCAGAACTGTAAAAGCTTGAGCTGTTATGAAATAAGGCCAACAATATATATTAAGCTAACACCCCCATCATGCATGTGCAACATCTACAATGCACTTTTGAGATCAATAAACAAGTGGGAAACATGGATTGTTGGTTTGGAACCTAAAGACCTTATGCAACCAAAACTCTGATCCAATGTGTGACAACCACCTTACTCCAAAATCTTGAACTGTAGGAAATGGGCTAACGGTTCATATCAAGTTAACATGCTGAATTAAATATTGACGATATTTTATTTTGTCTAATATCTGACAATAGCAGATGTTGCAATCTCTGTTAAAAATATATCCCCAGCTAACAAACACGACAAACAGACAGATGGTATTCCCCTCGGCTAACACCAAAAATATAATGGATCTTACTTTCACGAATTGCTGAAAACAATTTCCAGCAAGTGGAGTTGAGTTCTAATATCCAAAAAAAAAAAAAAAAGGCGAACAATAATTACCGTTAAATATTAGTAGCCATTGCTAAGAAATATACCTTTAACTTGCAAGAGCTGGTGAGAATTTTTTTGTGAATAATCATTTGGGTCAGATTTGACTCTCACGAAACTTCCTACTACTTTCTCATCAAAAGTCTCAGGTTGCTTTAACAATTCCTCCACCAAGCTCCTTTTCAGGTACAGAAGCTTGATGTTTTCAGCAATTACGGAAGCAAAACAGCTTTTAAGCACATTTGGAACTACTTTTTTCTTTTGAGGTTGTCCATCTGAGATCAACTTGTTCTGCCTTTTACAGGTCACCATAAAATTCTGATCTTTGTCTTCGGAACTAGACCCAGTCTCATCATCCTCGGTTAACTCCAGATTGTCACAAAAATGAGCAGTCAGAAGGTTATATATCCTATTTACACTCGTTGATTTCTTTCCTAAAAGAGACTGTAGCATTGCATCAAAAACTACTTTCTTCCTTTTCTGTGGGTCAAAAAGGTTGTTTTCTTTACAGTAGTTTGTAACTACAGTGGTAACTTCATTCTGCGATAACTCTTTGCTTGTGTCCTTACCAATGGAAGTGAGGAAACTTAAGAGAGATTTTGACCCCCATCCTATAAACTCTATTTTCTTTGCTTTTACTTTTCTTTTCATTGCACTCAGCTTTCCCTTGGACCTCTTCTTTTTGCTAACTGGCATGTATTCTTCTTTACCTTTCCAGTCATCGTAATCACTTTCTTCATCAGATTCAGAAAAACTTTCTTCTGTTTTACGAATTTCATTTGACTCAAAGTCACACCTGTAGTTCTTACCACTCTTCAATAAGTTTTTTGCATGGTGAACATGTTCTGCAGATAAGCCTTGCTTCTCTTTTATTATTTGCCAATATTCCTGGAATAGGAACTCTAACGTATTTCTTTCTTTGAAGTCTACTCTGCCCTGAAAATCAAAGGAGCATATTCTGAGGTGACAAGAGAACAAAGCAGGAGTTTTATATTATCAAACCACAGAAGACCTGCTGCACTTCCCAAAACAAACCAAAAGGACAGAAAAAAAAAAAAAAAGAAAAAAAAAAGAAGGATAAAAAAGGAGGGAAAACACATTATAAGAAATAAATTCATTCATTAACCGAGAAAAGTAACCAGGTCACAGGTCACTAATTGAACCATAGGGTCATCCCGAGTCATATAGTTGACAATTTGACATCACAAATAAAAAAATTTAATTTCTTCACATACATACATTACCCAAAAAAAAAAACATCCATTTAATTGTACATCAAAGAAATAACAGTACAACTTCAAGTGAAAAAGGATAAAGTATTTAAAAGAAAAAACCAATTATTATTTCAAAGTTTCTCTTATGGACTTTACGTTCTCAATAGATTTCAAACTGTATATCACTAATCCAAACTATCTATTTTTTAGGTCTTCCAACCAAAGATCATCCCTGCAAAAAAAATCATTCAAATCCAAAACCATTTAACTACTCAATTAAATGGTTGTCATTTTAGTGTTTTCTTGAAGCACCATGTTCGTCTAATTTTGTTGGTAATAACTACATGTTTTAATGGTTTTCAATTTGTCTAATTCTTTTGCAACAATGATCCATGAATGAAGAGTTGAAAAATAGACAGTTTGGATCGTTGAAATACAATGCATGGTGGACCTGATAAGGTGGTCTCAATTAAGGTAAGATTATTTGAGGAATCCTTCAAAAGAAGGGGACTCTATGTATGCATATTGTGTATTATGTATTCAGAAGCGATAATGAAATTAAGAGACACCTTTTCTTAAAATTAATCAGAAACAAGCATACCCCATCAGAATCAACATCCAACTTTTCTTCTATCAGTATTGCAAGCTTCAAGCAATGACTGCAAAATCCTTCACCCCCTTTAACAAGGGCAAATTCAGCATCCCAGAGACAGATTCCGCATACACCTTTTGGGCAGCAAAAGCAATGAAACTTCGCAGTTTTATGGCATATGAAGCAAGAATGCCAGTCTGAAATGTTGAAAAAAGGAAAACAAATTAAAATTAAAATTGGAAGACATCTTTGAGGTGAATAATTAAGACATGTCTAGTCGGGTTTCACGCACAGCATAAGATAGTTTTTGAGAATGCATGCATAGTATAGCATATTGAATGCAGTAAATCTTGCCATATTTTATTGACAATGACAAGATGTAAAGCTGAATCATCACCACAGAATAAATTTTGAGCTTACTGCAAGTCCAGCGATCTTTGCTCTTCAAAAATGAGTCATCTTTTCCAACACATTGAGGATGATAAACTTTAAGACAATCCCTGAGAAATACAGATAGACACTTCAACTAAATGACCAAAAGTGAAATTAAGAGGGGAGGTGAGGGGGAGTTCTTCCTTTCAGAATCTCATCCTTGATTTACTGCAAATTGTTTTTTCATAATCTTACAGCTGGTTAGATGATGAATATCAAGGCACAGAATGTTAAGTATCTTAATGAGAAACATATCATGCTCTAAGTCGTAGATAAAACTTGAGCGGTCAGTACAAAACATACCAGCTACTTGCATGCTAAAAACCACTGGTATTCTAACCATTGAATTTTCATCCAATGGCATAGAACATGATATGTGTCTTAATGTTATGTGCCTGAAATTCACACTAGTGAGATGCCCCTTTGATGATTCAAATGAGAACAAGTCCTATAATACATTTCAAACAATGAGTAACTATCCTTGTCTACCTTTCTTTTCGTTCAGGTTTTTGGGGCCCTAGATCCTCAAAATACCCAACTAGTTCCTAATAAACACACTGTAATTCGGTTAAATTTACCATGTAACGAAATGTAATCAATGAGAATCACATTCTTAGTTAAATCGATTTTTGGATTGTCCATATTCTGTTTAGGGCTTAGGGTATAGTCTCTAGAATTTAGAGGTAAAAGCTGAAAATCCTAAAAACCCTAAATTATAAACCCCAAAAACTAACAAATAAGCCGAACAGAACAAAAAAGCAGGAACCTCTTTTGGTACTTATGGCTAATTTTCTGGGAAAAAATGTGGTATAATTCACAGGGACATCTCAAAACACAAGCAAATGAACACGGTCATATAACATGTAGCCATTTATTATCAACAAAAACCATTATTACCTACTAGAATTTCAATTTTCAATAAGATCTCAGAACTCACTTGTAGTCGCAAACCCTGACATCTCCTCCATCTTTGCAAGCAAAGCAATAATCTTCACAAATTTCTTCCTTCCTTCTTTTGTTCTTCCTCGGCATATTGTTCAACCCTCTTTCCTGTTAATTGATCTCCAACCCAAAATTCCAATTCAACCACAACCCCAGTTCTTGTATCCCAACAGCTTCCCCTAAACCTGCCAAATAAACACAAGTTAAAAAAATATTCCATTTGCTATCCTCCACAGCACCGAAGAAAGAAAAGAACAAAACAAAAACAAAGAAAAGCCTTATTTTAGAAGAAACTTTAAAAACCCAAATGACAACGAGAATATTTTGAACCACATTGCAGTAGTGTAGTTCTAAAGGCTACTCAATGAGCTTCTTCTTTCTTCTGTGAAAGTTCCTCTCTCTATTCAACATTTCATGTATTTAAGTTCCTTTTATCAAATGACCGGATCCTTATATAAAGAAAATATAAGAGACCCATTTTGTTAAAAAGCAAAGAGCATACCTGAAGCTGAAGGGCAGTGAAGAAGAAATACAATGCTGCAATGGCGCTTTGTGTAGAAACCACTTGAGAGAAGAAGGAACTTGACGCCAGGAGAAAAACTTAGTTGCAATGGGTATAACACTATTTTGCTATTCTGACCAATAATACTATGCCACGTGGAAGTATTGTCACGCTATCAAAACGTCATTGGTTGGGAATAGCAAAATAGTGTTATTCACGTTTTATCGAAGTCTTTCTCCTTGAACCAGAGCCCTCTGCAGCTTTGGCACTTTCTGATGAGTAGCGTTTTGCTTGACTGAGTGATTGTTAACAATAAATATAAAAGCATGCCGTTTGGGTCGACTCGGAAATTTGGCCTCGCACATTTGGGTAGGAAGGCCGTGGGTCAAATGGGCAGCAATAAGGTAAGTACTTTTATGGTAAGAAGGTAAGTACTTTTATGAGTTGTTTTATGGTGAGGGTGTCATATATGAATCATAAATATAAACATTCATATTATTATTAGTCACATGATTCATCTTAATAATAACTTCACTTAAGTTTAATGAAAGGCCAAAAGTCACTTTTGATCCATATAGTTTTAATTTGGTCATTTTTGCCATTGTAATTTTGAGATTGTAGGAATTTAAGGACAATTAAAGAATTCCTTCATTTTTATTCGCGCCATCAAGGGTATTTATGTCTAATTAGGAAATTTCTGCCATTTTATTCGCGCTAAAACTCTTCATTTCATAATAGGGCCTTCAACAAATTTCCCCAAATTTCATAATAGAAACTTGGTTTTGGAAGAACCCTAAACCCAAATTCCCATTTGTCGCACTCTAACATGAAATGGAGAGTTTCAACTTGAATAAAATGGTAGAAATGGCCTGATTGGACATAAATACCCCTGACGGCGTGAATAACATTAACTTAAATCTTTAATTGTCCTTAAATTGCTACAATCTTGAAACTATAATGGCAAAAGTGACTAAATTGAAATTACATGGACCAAAAGTGAAAAAGAGGCAAGCGATAGGGACCAAAAGTGACTTTTGGCCTTAATGAAATGATCATATAACTAATATAAATGTCCACATGAAGGGTCCATAAATGACACCCTCATTATAGCATTTCGTGTACTTTTATATCATTTCTTCTGAAGTGGTATAGAGCAATATGGGGACTTTTTTCTCCTTTTTTTCTTTTTGCGATTTTAAATTGTTGTTTAATCAATTATTTGTGTTTGAATCTCCCTTTCATGACATTATTTGTATGATAAAAAAAAGTTATCGATACACTATTTTTTTTTAGACAATAATACTATTTGGACCATATTTATTGACCACTATAGTGATTATCTCTCTAATAGAGGTGGACCCCCATTAATATATGTAAAACCCACATGTATTAGAGAGGTAATCAAAAATGTGATTGTGGTATAACTAACATCACCTATTTTTCATAGAATATACCCACTATGATTTTACGCTAGGACATGATTCCCATTCTGCTGCTCCCTGCCAAAAAGCGACCGGTCCCCCTACGACTTTCGATCAGTTGGCGCTGCTGCAGCATGCCGTTTCCTCATCCTCCGCATCTGGTTTTGCAAGCCAATATCAACAAACCATGCTTTTGACTTGACGGTACTTTTCTCAAGAACAAATATAAAGAGCACATGCATGTGGCTCTAAGAAAGAATAGTAACTATTCTAAGGTAGAAAAATTCAATTACCAAGTGTGTGTTCTTTACGAGTTAATGACCTAAATGGTCCCTCAACTATTACTCTAGTATCATTTTAGTCTACCAACTGAAATTTTCATTTCAAACGTCCTTAAACTTTTTATTTTATACTAAGATAGTTCATCCGTCAAAGTCTGTGTATTATTCCGTGAAATTTAGGAACAAAATCGTATTTTTAGGTGAGTATCCTCTTGTAAAACGACCAAGCCAATGCAGGATTGCATTCCCTCCTATTTCTGTTAAAAGCTCCACCAAAGAGGGAAAACCAACTTACTCACAACCCTTCTATTTCTCCCCCACAACCAACCAAAAACAAAAAAACAAAAAAAAAAAAAATGCAAGACGACGATTTCGAACAGGGACTGGTCTGTCCTAGCTTCAACAGCTACTCCTCGAACAAACTTGCAGACGTCGCGGCCAAAGTCTACCGAGAGTTCGACAACCTCAATTTGCTCGACAAATCCAATAACTCCGTTGAACAGAAAGAACACGATGATCATAGAAAAGACGATGTCGACGACGACTTCGAGTTCGTCTCTTTTCAAAGTTCCGGAAGCTAGGTATTCTTTGACGACAACCAGATCGGTCCCGTTTTCCCCGTATTCAACCGCGACCTTCCGCTTGACAAAAGTCAACGAGATCTCGCAGCCGCCCCTAATAATAAGGAAGTTGCGGAGGAGGAGGAGGATGAAGACGATGCTACTGCTCTGCCGTCATCGTCGTCCTCCGACGTGGACGAACTGGACTCGGGCATTTGGATGCCGAAATCAGCGGTGGCACAAGACGCTCGCAGGAAGTGCAAGATTAAGAGCAAGTCGACTGGAACGTCGTCGTCTAGGCGGTGGAGCATAAAGGATTTCTGGGAGGGAATCTACGTTGGCTTGGTCGTTTTACTGGAGGATATTCACCTAAAAATACGGTTTTGTCCCTCGATTTCACGGAATAATAAAGAGATTTTGACGGATAGACCATCTTGTTACAAAATAAAAAGTTTTAAGGACGTTTGAAATAAAAATTTCAGTTGGTTGACCAAAATGATACTTAACCTTTTTTTTTTTTATACAAGCGATATTGGATAGGAGGGGTTTTCTACACACTGTCAATGTGCCATAAAAGTTCGAACATAAAACCACTAGTCTAAATCAATACACCTTCTACTGGGCTAAAGCCTGTTGGCACCAAGTGTGCTTTATATTGATGGCACATGAGTTTTAATATTTTCCTTATATTATTTCCATTCAATTGTCATATTATTATTTTTCATTCAAATGGTAAAGATGGAATTAACTAATAAGGAAAGCACATTAGTAGTTGATAACCCACAAGGTCGCAGCTAGAAATCTAATGCAAGATTCAGGCAGGTGCACTAATCGGACAAGATTATCCCCTCCTCAAGTTATTTAAAGCAACAGCCTCTGAATAAAAATATAAAAGAATGAGGAAAAATATCAATGAAAAAGGCAGGTAACAGCAAAGGCTGCTACCAATAATCAAGGCAGGAACATTTTCCGTCCTTGAAATGGTGAAATCTGCTTCCATCCCTCACTATAATTTCTCTCTCAAACACCTTTGAAATTATCTTGCTTACCTCATGACAATCCTCACAAACTCTCAAATTCTTCACAATTCGAATGCAGTCCCCAGCCCCTGTTACAAGCAAGCCAAAAGCCATCGCAAGCCGCTCACTATGCTCCTTTATTGCATTCTCCTTTTCTTCCTCCCCTATATCATGCAAAACTGATGAAACATTTGGTGAGTAGCCAGATTCTGCTATTCGTGTTCCAATTTTCTCCAGCATTTTGTAAATCTCCAGAGAACGTTCATGCTCTCTGTCCCCTGCAACAAATTTATGAACTGTACCCTGCGCTTCAATCAAGCTCCAACCTGCAGCTTTATTGGTGTTTTGCTCAACCAATAATCTCCGAACTCTAATAACATCTTCCCATTTCCTTGCTTTTGCATATATACTAGCTAGTTGTACATAATGCCCATCATGGGTTGGATCCAATTTAAGTAACTTCTTCCCAATCTTCTCACCCAATTCTATCGATCCATGTATCTTACAAGCACCAAGTAGTGTTGCCCATAATACAGGATCTGGTGGAACCGTCATCTTCTCGATCAACTGAACAGCTTCATCTAAAAAACCTGCACGGCCCAACATATCAACCATGCACCCATAATGCTCCATCTCAGGTAATATGCTATACTTCTCTGTCATCAACTTAAAATGACGTCTTCCCTCACTCACCAAACCAGCTCTACTACAGGCACCCAAGACACCAATGAAAGTGACATTCACAGGATGGAAACCCTCATCAATGAACCTTTGAAAGAGTGCAAGTGCTTCTTTCCCAAGGCCATGTGAGGCCAATCCACAGATCATAACGTTCCATGTCCAAATATCTTTCTTGGGCATATTTTTAAACAAAAGTTTAGACTGTTCGATGCATCCACATTTTGCATACATGTCAATTATAGCTGTGCCAAGGGAAACAGTCAACGGGAAATTCAAGGACTCTACAAGGGAGTGAACTAATCTACCATGTTCGAGCAAACCCAATTGTGCGGATGCTGAAAGAACTGAGACTAATGTAGCCTCATTTAGCCTCATCCCCTTCTCTCTCATCTGTTTAAAACACTCCAACCCTTCTTCTAACCGCCCATTCTGCACGTTACCCGAGATCATCGTACTCCATGAGATCACGTCTCTCTCCGGCATTTCCTCAAACAGCTTCTCCGCAGCACCAATCTGTTCGTCTTTTAAAAAAGCCATTAGCATTGAGTTCCAGGTAACTACATCTCGGGAACTGGCATTCTCCTCAAATAACCTTTTCGAGCATTCAATTCTACTACAAGAACAGTACAAATGAATCAAAGCATTCCGTACAAACACGTATCCGCCAAAACCAAGTTTTACTGCAACAGTATGAACCTGAGCTCCTTCATTGAGAGCCAAAGCCCTGCTGCAAGCTTGCAAAAGAAAAGTAAAAGTATGGTTATTGGGTTTCATGCAAGTTCGCAGCATGGAGGAGAACAGAAGCAGGGATTGAGGAGGCGAATCGCTTTTTGCGAAGCACCGGATCATGTTATTGGTAGCGAAAACACTTGGGTATTTGATGGATTGGTAAAGTGAGAGAGAATAGTGAAATGGGGTTGATGGGGACAGAGCAAGAAAGCAGAGGAGGTGAGAAATGAGTGGCGAATCAGCTGCGAGGCCCGAGACGATGATTTGAGCATGGGCTTGCTTGGTTTGGGGGATGGAAGGGCGTGGTGGGAGAGAAGAGAGAGGTGGTGAAAGTTGGGAATTAGAAATGTGTTTTGGGAGAGAAAGGAGGAGGGATTTGGGCTTATAAGCAAACATAAAGAAGCTCTCTCTCCTCTCCTCCAACTCCAACAAGTTTTGATTCAGCACATAATTTTGAAAACTCTTTAGCACAAAATGGCGGGTATGAGAGATTTATGCGTTTTCCGCTTTAAGCCTGTCATTAGGGATTATTAATTTATTTGATAGGTTGGTTGTCATTAGGGATTTTTAATCAATAATTCTCTTTTTTTTTGCCCTTGGGATTTTTGATTCTTGTATTGTTTCATTAATCCTTTGTTCTTTTAATAAAATTGTTTTTTTAAGAGAAAAACAGTATACAAGGGTAGTAATTATGGTTGGAACTTGGAATGGCAAGGATCTAAGCCAAAATAAATAAATTTGTCTATGAAGAAGATATATCTGTGTAAAACGATGAGCTTAATTTGTTGACCGTTCGAACAATAAGCCAAATTGCACACGGGGCGACACCACAATGAAAAAGTGGGCCAAACTCTCCCCCTCCCCCCAAATGCACCTTGGTTCGATTCACGTAAGAGACATTGATATAAGAAGTGGTTTCTATATATAAAATGAGTGATGTATTGTAATGCATTCAAAGAAATGCAAGAAGACTAATTGAAATTACAGTAAATATTTGCTTCCAAATCTATAAGTGTACAGGGTTAGAAACAAAGTATTCCTCCAAAAAGCTACTGGAAATCTGGCAACCTGTTTCTCTCTACTTGCTATAGCTGTCTCTCTACATTAACAAAAATTTCTGATAATGTACAATTTTCTGGTCTCTCTACCTAACAGTGACCCAATTTTCTGATGACTCCAAGTGACTCTCAGTCTGCTGCCTTCTTGTGCTTCTGTTGCCTTCATCACAGCACTTTGAGAAAGGATTTCTGCTCGGGATGCTCGGGAAATCATCGCGATCGCGAATCCCCATTCCATGATCTGATGAGTAATCAGAACCCTCCTCACAAATTCGAATGTCTAGAGTACTTGCAGGTGAGCAAGCCACACCCTTTCTTGAAACTCTCATTGAATTTCCTGATACAAATGGATGGTTAAGCAATTCCTCAGCAGACCACCTCCTTTTCGGGTCTCTCTCCAAGCACCTTGCTAAGAAATCCAACCCCTCATCTGAGAAATGTCTTGGAAACTGAGGCTTCTCATTGCCACAAGCAATCTCCAAAACAGCAGCCACCGGATTCGAAGTCTTGGTACCCCAAGGAGGCCTGCCAGTAGCCATTTCAATGACAGTGCATCCCAATGACCAAATATCCAAAGCGAAATCCAGCCCTTCATTTCTCAAAACTTCAGGAGCCATCCACAATGGAGTCCCACCAACAGATTGCACAGCAACCTGCACGGAAACCCCATCAGCCTTTGAGTCCTTTAGCCTCTTAGCAGAGCCAAAATCCGCCAGCTTCACATTCCCGGAGGAGCCCACGAGCACATTCTTGCACTTGAGGTCACAATGCACAATCCCATTTTCATGAAGATGCTTGAGACCATGAAGAATCTCTCTGGTGTACAAACGAACCACCTCTTCCTCCAATGCACCACCAAATATCTGTGACACATCTGACAAGCTACCCCCTGCCATGTACTCCATGAACACATTGATGCATTTCCCTTCACCATTTTCCTTCCCCAGGCATCGAACAACGTATTGCGAATTCAAACTCTTGAGAATCTTTGCCTCATTCTCCAGAGCCTGAACTCCATGCCCAGACGCTGCAGATTTCACAACAAAAAGTGCTCCTGTGGCTTTGCTCATGGCCAAGTGGACACTGCCAAAAGCCCCAGATCCAACCAGTTTGCCCTTCATCCATGCACCAGGCAGAGGAGATGTGCATTGATCAGAATTTGAAGCCATGCCTTATCTTCTTTGAAGGAGTATTGGTTATTATTAGATATCTTGAATTGGGCACAAAAACCCAACTCAAAGCATGAAATTCTGGTCCCTCTAAATGCATGCAGAGTAAATAAATAAATAAAACTAAAACTGATGTGTTTACAGAGGATTTAAGAAACCCACAAGAAGAAAAAAGAAAACAGGTTGATGAAAAAACTTGTCAACAGTTCCAGAATGAATGGAAACATATATAGACAAGGAGTTATTTTGGCCTTAAACTGAAAATTCAATGACAAAATTACTTCTGCTTTGATGGCAGTCGAATTTTCAAAGATATAATGACGGTAGAGCGGTTTCCCTTCAGATGGAAAACCGCCCTAGCAGTGGGAGATTTCTCCCTCCTCTTTACTAACTGAGAAGTTTGGTTTTCTTCTCCTTCTTGTTACGTACAATTTATGTCCAGGAAAAGAAACTTCGAAGTCGGGTTTTGAATTTATAAATATCAAGTCTGATGGGGAAGAAATAATGGTTGGCCATCCTAACCTTGTGGAACTCCTGGAGCCTCATTGGACAGGGCCACAAGAAGCATCAAAGAAAGACCTAATGGGTACCTGCCACGTGGCAGAAACTAAAATCAAATTCATACTTTCCAGACAGAAAAAAAAAATGACAATTTTCAGTTACTGCCGCTTTAGAAATTAGGCAGAAAAAGAACGGCTATGAGACACTGAATTTCTCGCCATTCATTCTAAGGAAACTGCTTTCTAAATGCCGCAAGTGTGTCTAATACTTGAGAAATATATTTTCATTTGAAACACCAGAAAACTGGATGCTTCCAGCTATGGGCTGGCTGGGCTCATGCCCGGCCCAAAATTTTGACCCAAAAAAAGAGAGTAAGTAACTTGCCCAGCCAAAAATTGAAGGCAGCCAATAATTAAAAAACAACTAGCCCACTTACTTAAAGTAGCCCATTTAAACAATATATGCAGTGCAAGTGCAGCAGCCAAAATTAAAAGGGATCCCGCGCGCTGCAGCCTTCAATCAGCAACCATCAAAACAGAAACTTCCAACTTCTCTGTGTCTCAACCTTCAGCCACCATCAATTCAACTCTCAACTTTTTTGCAGGAGCAACTTCTCTTCTTGGCAACAAGTATTCTTCTCTCATTCTCTCATTTTAATTAGGCTTAAGTGCTACAGTGTCCCCTGGAACATTGGTCAATTCTCACTTTACCCCCTCAAAGTTAAAGTGACCCACTTTGCCCCCTTGACCAATGTTTCGTGTTTCACTTAATCACTTTCCGTCTACGCCATTCCAAATTCCGTTAAACCAATGACGTGGCAGGGGGAGGTTGGTCCATTCAACTGAGCTGAGATTTTTCCCATCAATCTGAGGGTGTGACGTGTACATGTGGAGCCCACCTCTAACATTTGATATAGCTCCAACGTTCTAATTGATCTCAGCTACGAAACCAAAAAAACCCCAAATTGGCTTCCTCTAAAACCCTAGAAATCAGAGGTTGGGTTCCACGAAAACTGAAGATGAAGACTGAAATAGTTGACAGAAGGGAAGAGATGGATGTGGCGGCACCACGTTGCTTTTGTGGGAAGATAGCTCGCTTACAAACTTCATGGACTGAGGCGAACCCATGTTTGTCCAAACTCATCAGGGGTAAGTTATGTTGTTGAAAGTGTGTGAATCCGGTTAAATTTATTTATTAATTGGTATTAATGTTTGTTGCAGAGGAGGAAAAAAGGATGTGGGTTTTTTGTTTGGGTGGATGTTGAATTTCCACCTAGAGAGAAGGCTCTGGTGAGTTGGCTACTTAGAAGATTGAAGGAACTTGAAAAGGACGTTGGGCATCGTCAAGCAAGAGAAAGAAAGTTAATGGGTTGGCTTATTCTTTCATGGGGTTTAGTAATAGTTTTGTTTTGGCAATGTTTGTAACAACTTGGCACAAAATGTGGCCATTGCAATGGAGGAATTAGGCAGATTGTACAAGTCTAATTTTGCAACTGTATGTAAAATATCATGTCTTGGTAGCTATGTAATGATGGAGGAACATGGTTTCCATTTGCAACTGGATGTAACAATGTATTGGTACTTATGTAATGAATGTGGTTGTTAAACACAATGTGGGAGTTACTTATTGGATTTTGACCTCATATATAATGGTATGAAAAGCATTACCAAATGAACAGTACCACAAACACTTGCAACAGTTTATAACATTGATCAAATCCTCACAGTTTATAACCATTTTATAACATTACTAATAAAGTTCTTAATAGTTGGACTTGCAAAATAATAGTTCAATAAAAAACCCCATTTCAAATGTTTGTACTTAACACTTGTCCTTAACAGTTGTACATGTAAAACAAAAGTGGAATGAAAAGGTCTTCATAACAGGCATTTTAACAAAACACAAAACACTTTCACATGATCAGAATCTCCAAGGCTGATAACCATTCACCAAATCCTTCCGATTGGTAAATTCCATCCTCTTGGCAGGAGATTTGAACCTTTTTTTGCTTGGATCACTGGCAAAAGGGTGTGATAAGCTTGCACTTGGTTGAGATCCTTGCACAGATTGAGTAGTTTGGGCAGGTTGAGAACTTTGGGCAGTTTGAGAAACTGGACAAGCTTGCATAGATTCAGTTCCTTGCACATATTGAGAGCCTTGCAGAGTTTGAGAACCATATTTCTTTTTGGGGAATTTAATCCTTTTTGCAGGAGACTTAAACCTCTTTTTTTTTGGAGTGTCTGAAGCTTGGCCAGTTTGAGATGCTTGGGCAGGTACTGAAGGTGGGGCAGTTTGAGATGCTGGGGCTGGGGCAGTTTGAGATGCTTGAGCTGGGGCAATTTGAGATGCTGAGATTGGGCAGTTTGGGAAGCTTGGCCTGTTTCAGAACCATGTGGAGTTTGAGAACACTGGCCAGTTTCCAACCTTCTTCTCACCTACAAATTGAAAAGGATTCCAATTTACATAAACTACATCTCATACCTCATCCTCTTAATATCAATAAAAATAAAGGAGGCTTATAGGTTGCTTGGCTGTTGATTGTTTTGTAACCCTTTTGGTTGATGTCGTATCTTGGGCATATTTCTTCACCTTTCGTTTACATGGGACCTAACATAAGTAGAGAATCACTTGAAAATAAATAAATAATAAACATCCAAAACAAAAATCCATTGCTAATGTGTTTTTGGAAGAAACAAACTTGACTGCTACTACATTCTTTTGCCTTATGGTAGCTTTTCCTATTATGGCCTCCTTGTGTACAAA